TTTTCCTCCAATGCAGAATTACAATGCCCTGGAGCCAATTGCACTCTGTACATGCTCAACACCACGATGGTTACAGCTTGCTGCTTTGGGGGGAGGGGGGTTTCAGCAGAGGCGCTCTGCACTTGCTCAGAGGCACCTGAATAAGCCAAAAGGAAGGAAGGAAGGAAGTGGAGGGAGAGAGGTCTGGTGCTGGTTCTTCTCTCTTTGCCCCCATTTCCTAGAAATAAACATGAATCCCATTTGGGAGGAGAACCTTGAGGAAACAGGTCCAATTAATAGATCTATTAATATATATAGAGATAGATATAGATATACATATATTTTTTTATATATACATTCTTTCTCTCTCTCTCTCTCTATATATATACACACATTTATAGATATGTATAGATATGTATATATTGATATAGAATAGATATATACATATAATTTATATATATATATATATATATATATATATATATATATAAAATCTGTTTTAATTGTAGTAATTTAATTCTGTTTTAATGTACTATTTTTCTATGTTTTTAATTGTATTGTTTTTAATGTAAGTTCTAGGAGAAGGGCGGGAATTATTATTATTGTTATTGTTATTGTTGTTGTTGTTGTTGTTATTATTATTATTATTATTATTATTATTATTATTATTATTATTATTATTATTATAAAAATACGGTAATTCTCTGCGCGAGCAAAAAAATAGAAAATAAGTGCTGCGCCTTTAGTCGGGTATTTACGGTAGGCAGAGGGCGGCGGTGCTGACGCCATCCTCGGGCGTCCGGGCGAGCGCGGTGACGTCAGAGCTAGGGCAAGACGCCGCGCGCCAGGAGGCGTTGGAGGCGGCTTCCCGCGTCCAAGATGGCGCCTGGAGCCGGGAAGGTGAAGCAGGACATGCCTCCTCCGGGCGGCTACGGACCCATCGACTACAAGAGGCACCTGCCCCGCCGAGGCCTCTCCGGTGAGGGAAGAGGGGGGCCCCAGGGCTCACCCCTGGACCACCGCAGCTCCCATCATCCCTGGACGGGGGCTGTTGGGACCTGCAGTCCACCCAGACCACCAGCCCAAACTTACCCCTTGAACTGCATGGCTCCTCCAGGTTTTATGTTGGACTGCAGCTTCCATCATCCCTCACCCTGGGCTGGGCTGGGCAAGGAGACTGCTGGGAGTTGTAATCCTTCGATGTCTGTACTGTGCCCACTCTTTACCCCCCCCTTGATCCAGACCAGAAGAGGGAACTGAAGGGTTCTCTAGGTTGTGTTGGATTGCAGCTCCCATCATCCCTCACCTTGGGCTGTGCTGGGCAAGGAGACTGCTGGGAGTTGCAGTCCTTTGACATCATCATGCCTGCCCTCTCCACCGGCTTGATCCAAGCCACAAGAGGGAAGGGCATGGACATCTCCAGTTTTTGTTGGATTACATCTCCCATCATCTCTCAATTTGGGGGCTGCTGGGAGTTGCAGTCCATCCACATCTGCACCGTGTCTGCTCTCCAACCCTTTGATCCAGACCAGAGAATGGAATTGGATGGTTCTCCAGGTTTTGTTGGATTGCAGTTCCCATAATCTTTCCTGATTAGATATGCTGTCCGATGGTTGCTGGGAATTGCAGTCCAACATCATCTGGAGGGGCCAGGATGCAGTTGTCATTCAACTGCAGCCTGCTGGGAATTGCAGTCCATCCGAATCCAGAGAGCTGGTAGGAGAAGGACCTTTTCATGATCTTTTAAAGCAGCGATTCCCAGACCTTTGGTCCTCCAGAGGTTTTGGACTTCATCTCCCAGAATTCCTGACTGTTGGTCAAGCTGGCTAAGGCTTCTGGGAGCTGAAGTCCAAACAGCTGGGGGAGGACCAGTTGCTGTTTGAAATGTGGTCTTAAACTGCTCAGACTTTGTGCTTTTTTAACAGAGTTAAAACACAGAAAACTCTGTGTTTCTTCCTCTCAGGCTACAGCCTCTTCGCCATTGGAATCGGGACCCTTCTTTTCGGCTACTATTCTCTTGCAAAATGGAACCGGGAGAGGAGGTAAGGAGTTGTGGTTGTTGTGTGCCTTCGGGTCATTTCCGACTTACAGCAAGGCGAACCCTGGGATTTGTAGTTCGCTGTGGCACCAGAGCTCTTCAAGCGAACCTATCCTGGGGGTTTCTTGGCCAGTTTCTTCAGAGGAGATTTGCCATTGCCATCCCCAGAGGCTGAGAGAGTGTGACTTTGCCCAGTGGGTTTCCATGGCCAAGCTGAGATTCGAACCCTGGTCTCTAGTCCAAGGCTCAAAGCACTCCTTCTCCGTCGCTAGTTATAAAACCTAAAACTTCCCATTTCCTTCCAGTGCTGGAAGGTATATTAGAACCTCAGCCAGAATCCACAAGGGAAATCCTATCAGGCTTTTAGATGCTGTTGGACTGCAGCTCCCAGCAGCCCCAGATGCTATACCCAGTGGTGAGGACTTCTGG